AAAGCATGTGAAGCAAAGAGTTTAAATCCTGGTGTCCTGTGAAGATGAATGAAGAAATGTTCTACTTACATGCGTTTTATAAGACAGTGGATGATGAAGAATCACATACTATAACATGAACAGCAGCAGCACCAAGGGAACATGAGTCTCAACCAGAACTATTTTTAACATGTGAAGTTTATTTATGTTACCTGTATAATTAAATGTTTTTTAAAAGGCAGAAGAAATAGTCATAGAGACAGAATCCAGTCAAGCATAAGGCAGATAAGCCCCATTATGATATGCTCAATCGTATCTGCATTAAGAGCTACCTATTCTAGGGGCACCTGGGTGGCTCGGTCAGTTAAGCAACCAACTCTTGGTCTCAGCTCAGGTCTTGATCTCAGGGTCAAGAGTTTGAGCCCCACAGTGGGCTTCGTGAAAAAAAGAGAGAGCGGGAACTGCCTATCATAATAATAACCATATACAAGGAAAGCTTGATGTAAAGGAAGCCAGAAAGGAAAATGGTATAGCCCAAGTTCATGTGTATGTGGTATTTGCTTTCAAAGAAATGGTCCCATATAAACTGGTAAAGCTACCACTATTTTTAACATAATGTTCTATTCACGTCGCCATTCAAAATGAGAGACCACTAACTACCGCCAGCACAATGTTTTCCTCTGGGGACTGAGGAGAAGCGGCCGGTTGGTTAAGAACTCTGACGACTGTACATTCACTCCCATCTTTAGTCAGCCTCTCGGCAGACCAGTGACAACAGAACCGTCCCTTTAGTGCCCTGGAGTGTCTTCCTACTTGCCTAATGGGAAACAGACTTTGAAGAATTGAAGACATACTATAGTTTAGTTCAGAAGATGTTTTTGTTCTGTTTTTGTTTGTTTGTTGGTTTTTTTTTTCCAAATACCCTTTGGTAACTTCTAAGAGGTATTATGGGATTATGGGTTTGTTGGGTTTCCATACAGCCTAAAAGTTAAACTGTTTTTCGAGTCAAACTGGGTACACGGAACGAGTACCGGGTAAGTGTGTTGAGAATGTATATGATGGGGAAGGGGTAAGAAATCAGATGAGGGGGAGAACTGTAAGCAAATATGAAAAGAAAATTCTATACTAAGAAAGTCAGGAAAATTAAATTCTGTCCTGGAGAGCTGTGAGACAGGCTCTCCTCACCCACTCATCTGAACACATTAGCTCTAACATTTGATATCCGAATTGTCAATGGCTAGTGGTTACCTACGTTGAAAAGTCTACAACAACGCCATGCCGTTGACCTTTCTGCAATGTCATAGTCGGTGCTGTCTAATCGGGCAGCCATGAGCCACATGTGGCTACGGGGCACTTAAAACATGATTAGGGCAACCACAGGAATGAATTTTTAATTTTATTTCATCTTAATTAATTTTTTTAAGATTTTATTTACTCATTTGACAAAGAGAGAGAGCACAAGCAATGGAAGCAGCAGGCAGAGGGAGAGGGAAAAGCAGACTCCCCGCTGAGCAGGGAGCCCCACATGGGAATCAACCCCAAGACCCTGAGATGATGACCTGAGCCGAAGGCAGACACTCAACCGACACTCAGCGCCCCTAATCTTAATTGATTAAAATGTAAATAGCCACATGTAGCAAGTGGCTACTGGATTGGACAGTGCAAGGTCTAGGATACAGGCCTGTAGTTAATTTCACTTGTCATCCGGTTAATGTCACTCTGCTGGACCAGAAACTCCATGAAGCTAGCACTGGGCTGATCTTATTTGCCTCTGTATCCTGGAACAGGGCCTGGCAGACTGTGCACACTTGATAAACACCACTGACTGATCAGATTTTCACAGAGGCAAATCAAAAAGGAAGCACCTTTCCTAGAAGGATTATGCATCGAAAGATGCTCGTGAACACCCGAGTCTTACTTATTTTTAAGATTTTATTTATTTATTTGACAGAGAAATCACAAATAGGCAGAGGTGGGCAAAGAGAGAGGGGGGGAAGCAGGCTCCCTGCTGAGCAGAGAGCCCAATGCAGGGCTCGATCCCAGGACCCTGAGATCATGACCTGAGCCAAAGGCAGATGCTTTAATCCACTGAGCCACCCAGGCGCCCCCGAGTCTTACTTTAAAACCCACTGCCAAATTGTCTAGCTAACCCAGGCTTTCCCCACTTTAATTTCCTTCTATACTTTTCTCACACAAAAGAAAGCAGTATTTCTCAACACAGGATGACATAATCAGTATTATTTTTTTATTAAAAACATTCTATTATTTCATGATTTCATTATTCACACTTCTAAACCATTATATATTCCTTTTATACTTCCCTAGAAAATACTTCAAGCTCACTTATAACCCCTAGCTGATATTCCATGAACTGAACAGGAGACACCCGGAGGCAGATTGGTTAAAATGGTCTATAAACATCTTTCTGCCTGCTCTGCTTACAAAACAGAGGACATGCTTACAAACAAAGCCTATCAACACACACATCCCCACCTACACATACATATGTATACATATCCACGCACACATGCATGCACACTACTGAGTCTCCAATTATCAGGTCCTTTATTACACAATCTACCTACCACCTTCTACTCTTTTTTTTTTATTTTTAAAGATTTTATTTATTTATTTGACAGACAGAAATCACAAGTAGGCAGAGAGGCAGGTAGAGAGAGGGGGGGAGGCAGGCTCCCCGCTGAGCAGAGAGCCCGATGCGGGGCTCGATCCCAGGATCCTGGGATCATGACCTGAGCTGAAGGCAGAGGCTTAACCCACTGAGCCACCCAGGCGCCCACCACCTTCTACTCTTAAAGCCATGTAGTTATGGAGGTCAGAAAGAACTGGATTGGATTAGAATTGTAGCTCTTTTGGGCTCTAGATAGGCACTCTTGGGGAAATTACTTAATCCCCCTGTGCTTCCCTTTCTAAGTCTGTTGAAGGGACTGGACGGTTCACCAGCTATGAAAGCATCTGGAAGACCACCAAGTGCACAGCAGGTGAGCTGTGTTTGCTGACGAGTCACTTACTTCCTCTGTTTCATGGGACTTCTTTCCATTCTAACAATCAAGCCAAAGCAAAGAAGTAAAAGGAGCAATGCTTACAATCTTCCCAAAGATGGGTTAGCATGGGTTATCTCCTGATTTAAAGCGAGCAGGACCTGGGACGCCTGGGTGGCTCAGTCAGCTAATCATCTGCCTTCGGCTCAGGTCATGATCCCAGGGTCCTGGGATCGAGCCTCCTGTCAGGCTCCCTGCTCAGTGGGGAGTCTCCCTCTCCCTCTGCCCCCCACTCATGCTTTCTATCTCAAATAAATAAAAAAAAACTTAAAAAAAAAAAAAAAAAAAAAAAAGCAGATTCAAGGGCAGGGCTCCTGATCAGGGATTGAAGAAACAAAGGAAAATGATATGTCACAATCTTAAGGAAATGGGAGAAGAACTCATTCAAAAAAGACATTTCTGATATATGATAAAGATCCAACCAGAGGCCTGTGGAAATGACTCGACTCCGTCTCTCTCTGTACAACCACAATAGTTTATTTTGTCTATAACTGGTTAAAATCTGTCGTCCGCCGACTGCCTTCGGCTCAGGTCATGATCCTGGAGTCCCGGGATCGAGTCCCGCATCGGGCTCCCAGCTCCACGGAGAGTCTGCTTCTCTCTCTGACCTTCTCCTCGCTCATGCTCTCTCTCACTGTCTCTCTCTCAAATAAAAAAAAAAAAAAAAAAAAAAAATCTGTCGTCCGCTTATCTTTAAAGTATTAGAGATCACAAGACCCCTTGTTCTTCCACCTCCAAACCGCACATCTGGTAAACCTGATTCCTAGCGCCTTTGACTATTGGAGAGTTTCTTCAACACGCAGACAGCATTTATCAACAAAACTGCGGTAAGCAACAGCTTCAACAGTCTGTATGAAGTATCCCTAGGTATACAGCAACAAAGGACTCCTTTAAAGAGGTAGCCTCTGCATTTTGATTCTAGACCCCCTGGCAGGGAAGTACCGCAGTGAGGATCCCAGGGAATAACATCAACAGGCAAGAGGGAAGGTCATGGGAGTCGAGCATACCTCCGCCTCCTGCAGGGTCCCGTGGTTCAGGCACACCGTGTCAGGGCAAGCAATGGGAGACCCACAGCCTTCTCGGATTGCCAGCTGCAGGTACTGTTTCAAGCACTAGAAGGTAAGAAGGAAAAAGACAATTACCCATTGCCTCACAGTAGCACAAAGGTTACACACCACCCTCGCCTGCCCTTCCTTCACTGGCAGTCCTGGGGCTCTTGTGTTAGGGGAAACCGAGGGAGACCAAAGTTATCACAAGTGTGAGCACTAAGACCCTTGGGAAAGTAAGCAAGACAGGTGATTAATTACGTATGACCTCTTCCTAAGAATATGAGTTTATGCAAGGCAACAAGTCAAATTCCCATATGCTCACACTTTTCATCCAACATGGATATGGGAAAGAAGAAACCCTCGTTTACCCTGATGGCAAATGCCTTCTTTACTCTCTCTTTTTTTAACTTATGTGACTTCCCAGTTCCATTTTTACCTAGTGGTCCTCTCCCTCAAAGCTCGCTCAAAAGTAGAACTCTGACTCTCATGCTGATTTAGCCAAACAGAATCAAAATACAGCTGACTCTTGAACAACATGGGTTTGAACTCTGTGGGTCCACTTACATGCACTTTTTTTTTAATAAATACAGTGCTACAAGTATATTTTCTTTAATGATTTTCTTAACATTTTCTACAGCTTCCTTTATTATAAGAATACAGTATATAATACATATACAGAATATGTATTAATCAACTATTTATGTTATCAGTAAGGCTTCTGGTCAACAGTAGGCTATGAGTAGTTAAGTTTTGGCTCAGTTGGTTAAGTGTCTGCCTTCCACTCAGGTCATGACTCCGGAGTCCCAGGATCATGCCCTGAGTTGGGCTCCCTGTCCAACCGGGAGTCTGCTTCTCCCTTTCCCTCTGCTCCTCCCCTCTGCTCATGCTCTCTCTTGCTCACTCAGTCTCTCAAATAAATAAAATCTTAAAAAAAAAAAAAAAGAAAGAAATCCCAGAAGTGGACTCCTCAGTTTCTACTAATTTGCTCATAATTGGAGCTCTTTTCTGTATGCATGATGAAAACAAGTCAAGAACACATGTTTGAGGACACCCCAAAAATACATAAGCCGGTCAATGAACTAACAACCCTTATAAAGTTATGATTCTTTACAACTGGGTTCAAATTCTTCAAACTTATGCATTTATGTATCAACCTGCTACATTAATAATATTGCTGTTGCACCAACCTTTTATAAAAACTTTACTATTAAATAAATTCTATGGTCAGAATACAGATACCATAATCGTGAACCTATTTCTTTGTTCTTTGTGGGGTTTTTCTGTTTTTTTGGAAGATTTTATTTATTTATTTGAGAGAAGAGACACAGAGACAGCAAACATGAGGGGGAGTAGTACAGAAGGAGAAGCAGACTCCCCCACTGAGCAGGGAGCTGGATGTGGGGCTCGATCCTGGGACCCTGAGATCCTGACCTGAGCTGAAGACAGATGCTTAATGACTGAGCCACCCAGGTGCTCCCATCTTTATTTTTCCCCGTCTGAAAATAAAACTAATATCACAATGCATTATTTCAGGAAACTAATCCTGTATTTAGCTGATCAAAATTACTCTTACAGTGGACTCCGGAAGCAATGACTAGAGCAAAGCATTTAAACCAGATTTGTATTTCTTCACATGCTTCACAATTCCCTTCTTCAAGGAGTCCATTTTCCCCCTATGCCATTCATCACCATTCATCATCAAAAAATGAGAAAGTAACCCAAATACCCAAAACAGAAGAACACGTAAATAAATGATGCTCAATTCATACAACGGCTCGCTGAGGAATCATGAAAAATATTTTCAAATGATGTTTAAACACATGGGGAAAGTGCTCCTGGGTCCGTATGGAGAATAAAAGGTATCCGGGAACAGGGCTCCTCTCGCAGAACTCTTCCTACCATCAACTGCACTCTGGGTGCTGTATTTTAGCTCTTATTTTCTTATTTTCTCTTATTTCTTTTCTTCTTTTCTTATTTTCTCTTATTTTCTCTCTTATTTTCTCAGACATGGTCTCCTGCGCTAAGAATGGGAAGCAGGAGAGAGCCGCATCAGGAAATGTAGGGAAGAATTTCTGCACACACGCAGCACTCGAGAGGACCAGCAGAGCTGGCGCACAGAATGGAGTGTCACACCCAGGGACAAATGAAAAAATGATGTGAAGGCTTGTCCACCCGGCTCTGATCTGCGGACCTCTTGGCCCTCCGTCCGCCACACAGATGCTAATGTGACCACTTCGGTCTCCCCAGCTGCCACTTGAAATTTAAACCGAAAGACTCTAAAAATGTATGGTCCCCAGGTTCAAGGGGAAGGTATCCAGGAAAACAAAGTGAACGGAGCAATGAACATCTATCAGAATATCTGGGCTCCGGCCGTGGAGCCAGGCTAGCAGGCGATGATGGGAAAGTGACTTAGACTGTGCCCCAGACCAGCTTCCCTTCACCGAAACACCAGAAATGATAACATCTGTTGGGGCATCTGGGGGGCTCAGTGGGTTAAGCCTCTGCTTTCGGCTCAGGTCATGATCTCAGGGTCCTGGAATCGAGCCCCACATTGGGCTCTCTGCTGAACGGGGAGCCTGCTTCCCCCCTCTCTCTCTCTGCCTCTCTGCCTCCTTGTGATCTCTGTCAAATAAATAAAATATTTTTTAAAAAATGATAATATCGGTTATGGTTACCTCAAAGAATTCAAAACACATGCACATACAAAACACAAACCTGAAATTCTGTATACGGGAACCCTTTGAAAAAGTCACAGACTGCAGAATTATTTTTACTCCGCTTCGCGTGATCTTGGACTTTCTATCAAGAACTTCATGGGGAAATGTTAATTCTCTGACCTTCTGAGATTATCCTTTCTCTACCCCCTTCCGAGAACCAGTGAAGCTGCTATGATCCAGAAACATCATAAACAGGACAGATATTTGCAACAGAACAGCACACATGCCTCCATTCAAGCCTCCCTTTAAAACAATTTGCATCTCTAGAAAAAGCTTAGGGTCAAATAGAAACCAAAAAGAAAGACTGTGTGAGTCTTTACAGAAGACTCAGAAAAAAAAAATTATTTCAACTTCTTTTGCAAACTTGTAAAGTTGAAATCTAAGCTTTCCCAAGAGTTTATCATAGATGTTCAGACTTTATTTATTTGTCAGAGAGAGAGAGAGAGCACGAGCAGGGGGAGCAGCAGGCAGGAGAAGCAGGCTTCCCACTGCGCAAGGAGCCTGATGGGGGACTCAATCCCAGGACCCTGGAATCAGGACCTGAGGCAGAGTCAGTCACTTAACCACCGAGCCACACAGGGGCCTCTGCTCTCTTTTTTTTTTTTTTTTAAGATTTTATTTATTTATTTGACAGAGAGATCACAAGTAGGCAGAGAGACAGGCAGAGAGAGGGGGGAAGCAGGCTCCTCGATGAGCAGACAGCCCAACCCGGGGCTCGATCCCAGGACCCTGAGATCATGACCTGAGCCGAAGGCAGAGGCCCAAACCACTGAGCCACCCAGGTGCCCCTCTGTTCTCTTTGTTAATGTAGTTTACACGACCCATGATTTTAGGAGAGAAGTTAGAGCTGCATACACGGACTACGGGGCATAAATGTGTGTGTGTGTGTGTGTGTGTGTATGTGTGTGTGTGTGTGTTAATAATTCTAAGAAACACTGGTTCAAGATAGAGATGTGCAGCACGGGTGACCGAGTATGGGGAGACCTGGGCACTTGCCGCTCCAGCCTGTGAGCGAGCATTTCTAGTCGGAGGCTACGAGGAACAAGAACCAGCCCTGGCTATTGCTTCTTGTTGAATTTTCAAGCACATTTTGTTCGTTCTAAGTCTCCCATCAGCTTTCACGAAGAATGTAATCTCGAGCCCTGCATCTCTTCCCCAGCACTTCCGGATGAAGCAGAAGAGAAGCAAAAGCATTCACAGGAACGCTCTGGCAAAGCAAACCTAGGTAGATGCTTAACAATTCTGGAAGAAAACGGCGTCTAGATTGTAAATAGAAACAGAAAGGGAAAAAAAAAAAAAAACCTACCATCACTTCATCACATTAAAAAACCTGCATTCCAGGCAGGCCCTCTCTGCTCTGCTGTCCGGCCCGCCACTCCCTTGCCGCGTCTTTGGTAAATGCCTACCTCCTCTCTTCCGCTCTGGGTGAGTTCTTTCACCCCATCCGGTCACCCCACACTTGCTGGCCCTCCTGGGAACCTCTGCCGTGCCGGGGCCTGGCCTCCTCCCAGCTTCTCCGGGAATCTCCTGGGACTTTCCCGGGGTGCACCAGACGCACTCCAGTGCTCCGTGGGGGATCTGAGGACCTCAGGCCAGGAGGGTGAGGGAGTCCCCCTCGGGCCCTTCGGAGAAATCCCCCACTCCCTTCCCTTGCACGCTCCGCCCTTGGCCGTGACTGTCTAACCCTAGTGCTTCCCAGGCAACTGAAGGTCTCTGGCCAGGGCGGCTCCCCAGTGTGGTCTGAAGGTCAGACCGTCCCTGCTTGCGACAGTGAAGGACACATTCTCTCTGCTCTCCTACCGCCCCTCCCTGAGATCCCCAGCCGGCGGCTCAGCTGGCAGGGGCAGCTCATCTGAGGCATTTCTGCACGTGTGGAGGACTCACGGCAGCTCTCAGCCACCTTGCTTCTTTTGGGCCCCCACTCTCCCCATCTCCCATGGGTCTGGCCACCATCCTGATCTACAGGCAGAATACCACTCCTGCACGTCGGGGTGAGTCCAACCACCCCACTGAAGGATGACGAGGCAACAAGGATACCAGCCCCTGCCCTTGTCAGCGGGCCCCCTCCCCCAGCCCCTGCCCTTGTCAGCGGGCCCCCTCCCCCAGCCCCTGCCCTTCTCAGCGGGTCCCCTCCCACTGTGCCCCATGGGTCTGGCCACCACGCAGGTTCACTTAAATCTCCAATCAGCACGTGAGTCTAATACCAAGCTCTGGTCTGTAACCGCACAGAATCCCTGATGGACCAACAGGTTTGAGTGGGGACAGGGTGTCCGCCCCCTACTGAAGACGACACCTCCGTCCAAATGCCAAAGATGTGTCATTGCCAATCTGTCCGTGGGGAACATA